AAGGTGCTACATGATGACATACTATCCTCTGTCTCGTAGCTATCTTTCACAGTATTCTGTCACTCCCCTGTCTGCTGCCCTCCATCCATCCATCTCTCCTCAGCGTTAACTCATGACCTCCTTTCATCAATCTGCTCCAGTGTTGCTCCTCAACTGCCAAAAACTACATGTGCAATGTACAGCGACATACATTTTTCTCAATAAAGTAAGTGTGTAAGTAGAAGAGCTGAAGAGAAGCTGATACAGACACAACTAAATCATCATCATAAGTTAGACTAAAGCTAAACGTGTGCACAAATCTGTGTGCATGTTAACACAAGTCCTGCAAACATCATAAACCAGCGCTCTGTCTAAAGCCTAATTGTCACTGTGTCTGCGTGTAAAAACAGGCTGTGAGATGTAATAAGCCGAAATAACAGTATGGAGGACAAGACAAACACACACAGACACTCAAAACGTATCATCACAGGCAGGTGACTGAACACACTAATCACATTCTTTGAATTTGGACACGGGGGTTATTTTTGGTGTCAATACGCTGATCCAGCGTTGGTTAACAGACGAGTTCAGCCACCAAAGAGTCAGTGTTTCTGTAGAAACCGAAGAGACCCTGTCAGTTTTAGAAATTCATTTACCTTTCATGCTTTAAATGATAATTTCGCATGCACTTACTCCTGTACCGCTGTACAAAAACAATTATGGTCAGAGATCATTTTGTAACACTTATACTAAAATCTGGAACTAGATGCCACACTACATTGGAGCAATAACCTCTATTACACATTTCAAACAGGCATAAAAACACTATCTGATGGAAGGAAATACCTGCAACCACTGATTTAAATCTGATCCCATTTTGCTCACTCCACTTCAGTCCTCTACTTTGCCTATGTTTTGTTGTTTCGCCTCTGTCAGCTGTTTCTGTTTCATTTTGTATTTTTAACATGTTTTTTTGCATAACAGGAACCTGCTGTAAACCAGTTTTTCAGGTCAATTTTAACTGTAACACACAATGTTACTTCAAATCAGCAGGAAACGCAGCAATGTCACAGTGAAAAAACAACCACTTTCTGCGACATCATCGCTGCTGGAAAAACAGCGACAGGTCGCTACCAAACATCTAAGAAGCCGCAATGGCTCGCTAATGATTCGCTAACTGGGGGCGGCAGTAGCTCAGTCCATAGGGACTTGTCTTGGGAACCAGAGGGTTGCCAGTTCAAGTCCATGAACACTGAAGACACTGAACCCCCAACTGCTCGGAGCACCTGTCCATGGCAGCCCTCTCAATCTGACATCTCTCCATTTAATGCATGTATAGGTCCTGTTTGTGCATGTGTGTGTCTTTTGGGCCTGTGTGTGTATGACAACAGAGAGAAAGAAAAGAATTTCCCCTCGAGGATTAATTAAGTATATCTTCTTCTTAATCACAACCAATTTTGTTGTTTGCTGATCTAAAGCTTGGAAGGTATCTCGCCTTGGTGACACACTATCCACCATCCTCTCCATCTTCCAACGACAAAGTTAGCTCACATACTTTTTGACTTTAGAAACTCTGATATGTATGAAGCATGCAAATGTAACATATTCTTGGTTTGCAGAAATGTTAAATGCCAACATTTTCTTCTGGCGACTGGGCTGAGAAAACTACAACACATGGAGCGACGCCTGCGAGCGAGTTCAGGCTGTCAACTCAAGCTGCACTGATTCACACACACACATCTTACGTCACTCTCCATATGTCAGCTACAGAACACACCCTCCCAATTTGGCAGTCTATTTAAGCTGCCAAAATTTCCCAGCTCTCCCTTTGCCTTGACTACGCTGCTGCCCTCAATCAGTATTGCTGCCTGCTCTTATAGCCCCACCTCCACTCTGGTATCCACCTGCAGGCTTCGGCTAAGAGGGGATAATTAATCATCACTCACCAATATCTCGTGTGAACATATCTGAGGGGAGTGATGAGGCCAAACTCTATGTTCTGCTGTTGAAATAAACATTTAAACGTATCTGGAAAACAACACTACAGCTGGAGACGCTGTGCAGAAGTACTGGGTAGATGGATAAACTGTTATTTAATTTTAATGCTGTTTGTAAGATTCATTGTTTTTCTTTTAGGAAGTAAATGAGTTTGGACTGATTTTTATCCTGATTCTGTGTTTTAAAATATTTAGTTTTCTGCTAGTGCCAGGGGACTGAGGCAGCCAGAGACAACACATAAAAAGTCTTGCTTGTTTTAAATATAAAGTATGTAAATTTGTAGATTTCAAGCAAATTTAAACTCAGAATTTTTACAATTAAAACTGACACATTTCCATTTTTTTCTTAATTAACATAAACTGAATATAATGAGCCCTTCCTAATTACTCTCACAGAGAAGAATCCATGTTTCAGGGTTGGTTTATAATACAAAGCAGAGGTGGTGGATAATTAGCAAGACGAGAGACTGCTACGGGAACTGTGTAGTGAAACTACAGAACTGCACCAGTGTGACTGTAGTTACTGTAGCATCACCAATTAAGCCATGTTAGAGAGACAGTAGGAATACTTAGCGTCTCTCTCTCCCTCCAATACAACGTAAAGGCTTGTTCAGAGCCTGAGCCAATGGAGCAGCTGTCAAAGCAAATTAGAGCAGGAAAAACACTGGAGAAAAGTCTCCCTCCTCCTCCTCTGTCCTCCCCCCATCCTTTTCTCATTCTCCTTCTCCTCCTCACTATCTCCTCCATCCCCCATCTCCTCCTCCCTCCACCTCCCAACTGTATTCACCCCTCTCCTCATTTACCCAGAGACTGAGCCCCACACACACATGCACACACCAGAATACAAATAATGTAAGCATGCATGTGCATCACTCAGGATACACTGCTGAATGTTCTGCGTGCATACAAACGAGACAGCTTCACCCTCAGTGTGTGTGCACATCATTAGCGCTATAGATTACACACACATGACAACTGCGACAACTGATCCATTAGCAGAGGAGGTGTGCTCAGTAGGAGAAATGTGTATGTGTGTGTGCGCGCGTCTTCATCCTCACAAGACACAGCCGATGCAATAGGCGTCCACACAGTAGACACGAACACTAATGCGTATATCTTCACCACAGGCATAACCATGCTGGTATGCTCTGTCCTCGTGTGCCTCAGACAGTAACAGTGTGGAAGATTAATCCTTCACCCTGGATGCCCTCACCTCACCTCCCCACCCCGACCCTCCTCTCCTCCTCTCCTCCTCTCCTCCTCAGCATTATCAAGCTCACTTACCAGGATATTACCAGGATCGCTTTATGGCTGCTGAGATAACAGACACCGGCGGTTCATTAACAGCAATAACACAGGGGCTCCATTATCAGCCGGGGAGAAGTCCCCTGAGAAAACTGTACTCTATGGTACTTCTTTACAAGAGCGTTAGAAATCATACTATAGCACCATAAAGTGAAAAAAGCACCAATAATTTGCACAAGGTCGCAATAAATTCACTTTTCTGTACAGACAAACCAGCTGATAATGACGCTTGAACCAAACAAATAGACTCAAACTGCTTTTAATGAATTGCCAAGGAAGGGATGACAACCCACAGGGGGTCGGTGCTGCAGCATCATTTCCCCCCCGAGATACTAAAGATGATGGGAGGTCACTATCTCAACTTGACCCATAGTCATTAAGAGTAACAGTAACACAAACAGGCAGGATGTGTTTGAATGAAAATACGAACCTTTTGGATGCTGTCAACTTGAGCGACACTAAATGCATCTCTAAAATCAGTCTGTACATTTATTCTTCGTAAACACTTATCCTGTTTGAGCCTATCCCAGCTGACATTGGGCGTTAGGCAGGGTTCACCCTGGACAGGTCACCAGACTATCACAGGGCTGACACATAGAGACAGACAACCATTCACACTCACATTCACACCTACGGACAATTTAGAGTCACCAGTTATCCTGCATGTCTTTGGACTGTGGGAGGAAGCCGGAGCACCTGGAGGAAACCCACACTGACACGGGGAGAACATGCAAACTCCACAAAGAGGGGCTAAAACCAGGTACACTCTTACTGTAAGGCCACAGTGCTAACCACTGCACTATTGTGCCGCCCGAGACTGTACAATGGTTGGAAATACACTGAAGAAATATTGCCTTGTGTTGGAGCCCACTGCTGAGAAAAATCCAGATTTTTTTGTTGCTACTGTTGTTTGTTTGCTTGTCGCCAGATTCCCACACATTTTCACGGATAAATCTTTCCCTTGACTTTTCAGGGACCCAAAATACAATTCAGCGACAATTTACAATGTATAACATGAACAGAACTGTAGAGTTTCCTTCACACAAAATGTTGATTATTATGTAAAAACAGATGGCTGCAACAAAGACTAATCTGCAAATATTTTTCTCCAATAATCAATAAATACAAATAGATTGTTTTCACCAAATTTTGCTGAAAACCTAAAGATTTTCAGAAATATTCAGAATTCAGAAGTGTCCATAGAGCAGTGAACATATATAGCATGGCACAGCAATCTGGAATTTTTGCTTTGAAAATATTTCAACAACTAATTTGTGATATTTTTTGCTGATTTCTTGTCTTTAAATTGTCATTTAATCAACTTATTTGTTATGTTTTTCAATAGGTATTATAGGTAGATAGGTATTATACCACAGCAAAATCCTCCTCTGGGCTTCTAAAGATTTATTTTTAATTTAGTTTTTATAATAAAAGAAAAAGAAACAGTGAAATAATGAAAACTTGCAGAAACTTCTGGCGTGAAGAAGCTGAAAATCGCTCAGCGCACAGTGATGTGACGTCGTAGATAAGTGACTGAAAAATGTCAAAAAACTTTGATTAATATCACAACAATATAGCGTTGTTTATCATTTAGTAAATGCACAATATGAAGGCAGAATAAAGGCGCATCTCTCTGGCAGTGTAACGGAATTATACGGGACATGGCACACAAACATCCACAGGGTCAGCATCAACTCTTCAGCCCTCCATGCACTTTACCTGGCTGACAGCTGTGACCGTTGCTGAGCTCCAGAGCAGCGGCCGGGCGGGGTCCCGGTGCTCGGACGGGTCCCTGCACCTCCCCGTCTCCGCTGACTCAATCCTCGGCTCCTGACCTTCCTGCTGCAGTGGCTCCACCGGCTCTGCTCTACCTCCCTCAGCTGCAGCACAAGCCACAGTTTAATCCAACCGGACCGGAGAGGAAACGCTGGCAGCTGTGTGTTGACGCACGGATGGTGTGTTATGGACGCAGCGGCGGTGCTGATGCGGCTCTCCGCCTCCTCTTCCTCCCTCTGTAGCGCTGAGAGTCTGCGGAGCTGAGCCGAGCCGTGCCGGAGCGGACAGGAGCCCGACAGGGCAACACATACACAAAGTCTAAACACGCCCAGCCGGCCGCCACGCTCCGACAGGACCCGCCCACTACCGTAATACTCAGACTAAAGCCTCAGTCTAAAACAACTTGGGACCATCCTAAAAACATCTAGTGACAACTACAATTCCTTGAAGCTGTTCTCCAGTTTGTGCCTTTCATGTAATCAGTCAATGCCAATTCATAACCTACATCAACACCTATTTCACTAGTGTGTGCAAACACAGTAGTTCATTGTGGCTTTTTCAGGTGTGAGCTGGCTCAGGTAGAAGGACCAGACTCTGAGTCTACTTCATCCTTCAGCTGCGGACATTGTAAATTAATTGACTTCATTAGTAGGGTGATACTGAAGCAGATGTTTTAATGGGAAAATGAGTCACAAATTCAGAGGTAAATGGCCCCGATGGTCTGTTTGTGGTCAGGCAGACTACATGTCCCCCTTTTCCACCAAAATTAGCATGTGTACCTGCAGGTGAACCTGCTAAACATAGGCGATAGACTCCTTTTCAATTGTCAATAGACCAGAGCTGTGTACACGGCTCTGCAGCAGACAAATAAGTGTTTTTGTGTGGGTGGGTTTGTTTTTGGTCTGTCACATTCAACATTACGGAAAGGCTGGAAAACAGGTTGGTGCCAGCAGAAAGCAGCACTACTCCTTTTTACATACAGTACAGGCCAAAAGTTTGGACACACCTTCTTATTCAATGCGTTTTCTTTATTTTCATGACTATTTACATTGTAGATTCTCACTGAAGGCATCAAAACTATGAATGAACACATGTGGAGTTATGTACTTAACAAAAAAAAGGTGAAATAACTGAAAACATGTTTTATATTCTAGTTTCTTCAAAATAGCCACCCTTTGCTCTGATTACTGCTTTGCACACTCTTGGCATTCTCTCGATGAGCTTCAAGAGGTAGTCACCTGAAATGGTTTCCACTTCACAGGTGTGCCTTATCAGGGTTAATCAGTGGAATTTCTTGCTTTATCAATGGGGTTGGGACCATCAGTTGTGTTGTGCAGAAGTCAGGTTAATACACAGCCGACAGCCCTATTGGACAACTGTTAAAATTCATATTATGGCAAGAACCAATCAGCTAACTAAAGAAAAACCAGTGGCCATCATTACTTTAAGAAATTAAGGTCAGTCAGTCCGGAAAATTGCAAAAACTTTAAATGTGTCCCCAAGTGGAGTCGCAAAAACCATCAAGCGCTACAACGAAACTGGCACACATGAGGACCGACCCAGGAAAGGAAGACCAAGAGTCACCTCTGCTTCTGAGGATAAGTTCATCCGAGTCACCAGCCTCAGAAATGGCAAGTTAACAGCAGCTCAGATCAGAGACCAGATGAATGCCACACAGAGTTCTAGCAGCAGACCCATCTCTAGAACAACTGTTAAGAGGAGACTGCGCGAATCAGGCCTTCATGGTCAAATAGCTGCTAGGAAACCACTGCTAAGGAGAGGCAACAAGCAGAAGAGATTTGTTTGGGCCAAGAAACACAAGGAATGGACATTAGACCAGTGGAAATCTGTGCTTTGGTCTGATGAGTCCAAATTTGAGATCTTTGGTTCCAACCGCTGTGTCTTTGTGAGACGCAGAAAAGGTGAACGGATGGATTCCACATGCCTGGTTCCCACTGTGAAGCATGGAGGAGGAGGTGTGATGGTGTGGGGGTGTTTTGCTGGTGACACTGTTGGGGATTTATTCAAAATTGAAGGCACACTGAACCAGCATGGCTACCACAGCATCCTGCAGCGACATGCCATCCCATCCGGTTTGCGTTTATTTGGACTATCATTTATTTTTCAACAGGACATTGACCCCAAACACACCTCCAGGCTGTGTAAGGGCTATTTGACCAAGAAGGAGAGTGATGGAGTGCTGCGGCAGATGACCTGGCCTCCACAGTCACTGGACCTGAACCCAATCCAGATGGTTTGGGGTGAGCTGGACCGCAGAGTGAAGGCAAAGGGGCCAACAAGTGCTAAACACCTCTGGGAACTCCTTCAAGACTGTTGGGAAACCATTTCAGGTGACTACCTCTTGAAGCTCATGGAGAGAATGCCAAGAGTGTGCAAAGCAGTAATCAGAGCAAAGGGTGGCTATTTTGAAGAAACTAGAATATAAAACATGTTTTCAGTTATTTCACCTTTTTTTGTTAAGTACATAACTCCACGTGTTCATTCATAGTTTTGATGCCTTCAGTGAGAATCTACAACGTAAATAGTCATGAAAATAAAGAAAACACATTGAATGAGAAGGTGTGTCCAAACTTTTGGCCTGTACTGTATCTCTTACTTATTCAGACTCGGTGCAGACTAATTTGGATCGATGTTCAAGCGCTGCTTAGGTGGAGGCAGACAGTATTTTGTGGTGATGTGTCACTGCATCTCGTAGGTAAAGGAGCCAAAATTAGTGCATTCACCACGGTGTTGTGTTTCCATCAATGCCGATCAGAGCCATAGCACATAAATACCTGTGACTACTGTAGAGTCACTTGACTAGGGTGAGAATACCTAACCTTTCCCATTGCATTAAAAAGTCACATGTTAGCAGGTGTTAGCGGGTATTTTTCTGCAGTGGAAACGGTATCGCAATATTTTTGTGGAGCAATATTGTGTCGTCACATAGTGCCAAATGTCAATCTTTTAAATTATATTAATTATTATATTACAAATACATATTATCAAGTGCTTTTTCAGTCCAATAGATACATTTTACTGCTGCAAAGAATGGCGGAATTGACATGAACAGACTGAAAACTTTATCTTACCAGATAAAACAGACACAAAGTTTTCCTTTGGGGACATAATTTGCAATAAATTTTATTGCAATACTCCACATATCGCAACATATTTAAAATCGCAATAATCCTGACTTAAGTATCGTGATACCCCTAACCACTACATCCCATAAAACTAAAATATTACTTTACCTGACTGATGCTATCAAATAACTTTTCTAACTAATCTTGGACACTCTACGTTGACAACAGCTAACAGTTACAACCTAATACTGTCATCAAAATTACATATGACCAAAAACTTGACATGCAATGTGTGAATTAATAAAAAAGTTTATTACCATCAACTAAACATTTACTTCCGTCTGCTATGTTTCTGTGTTCGAACATTTTTACGTTCACGTGAATTTTCCTAGCTGGGAACTCATTTTTTCTATTACTCCGACACCACTTGAATGTAGAGTAACTTCCTGTAGTATTGCTGTCATTGGAGGTTGCCAGGCAACTAGGGATGAGCAAGTACAGATTACCTGTACCTGTGTCTGTATGTGTTTAAACTAACTAAATGATCTATAGCTGCACTCAGTATGGGCGGGGTTTAGACTGGGAGTGGGTGGAGTCTAATCGTAAAGTGTAATTTTAAGCCTGAAATCAACATGGGTTGACCAGAAGTCACTTTATTATGCTTCAGATTATTTTGATCAAAAGAGTAAGAGATAAAACGAAGAAACTCAAAAGAGGATTTCCTTCATGACAAGTACAGATATTGTATACTACTTGTATTTACTGTATTTATTTTACACTTTATTCAATTCAATAAATCTTTATTGTTTCCGAAGGGCAGTTCTGGTGCAGCACAGAACAAATCAAACGTGGGAGAAACATACTGTACATACGACAATAACAAAAACACTATCAACAACATGTAACAAGAAACACACTGTACATACAGCAACAACAAAGACACCAAGTAATATGTAACATGTCCATATACCTCCTTGAGGGCCTGTTGCAGAAAAAGAGGATTAAAAAATCTTTAAAAACTGCAAAGCAGGGCAGTTTGAGCCAACATGTAAACACTAAAATACCTGCAACAGATTAGTGAAACCATAAAAGCTGCTATAATTACAGTCTGCATGTTAGAAATCCACAAACCACTAAAAACTATTGCCATCAAAAGTCTCCGCACACACAGCAGTCTCCATTCTCCTGCCCTGAGACCTCCTATAAAAGCCCCGTTTTCATGTCAGATTATTTCCACTTGAAAGTCTAAATATTTGATATAAATACAGTAGGTTTTTTTTCTAAAATGCAAATTTACACATGACTGCAAAAATGATAGAGGTGGTGAGGTGAGGACAGAATACAATTCATGTCATCTCAACCATTGTGAACCAACCACATAATAGCCAGGCGGGTTATTATGGAGTTCCATTAGCCTACATGAGAAGGTCAGAGGAGCTCACGCATCAATCGTGTGTGGCAACAGTACAGTTTCACTAATAGATGGTTTGAATGGGGTCAACTGTGAGACTCAGGGGAGCTGTACCAGTTACTATCAGAATGATAGATGAACACACTCACTCTCCTTCTCGCTCTGTTTACTGAGAAATGCTGATTGGGGAGCTTTTGGGTGTCGCATCAGTGCGTTACCTTGGATATGTTGGATATGAGCACCAACACCATCAGTCACCCTGACAGCCAATCAATTGGCCAGTCAATCAGGTGAGAGTATGAGTGAAAAATGCCGGTTGGTGGCATGATGCTTGGTGGCGCTGAAAGTGTGCACACCTGCTGTGCGCCCAACAGCTCAGGTCTGTCACTATCAAGGTTTCATCCTTTACAACGGGCCAATTAGGCAAGGTTTTAACTGATATGTTGGTCTGGTCCGACAGACAGAGTAGCATGGGAGTCACCTGGAAAAGGACTTGATTTTTCAGGCTTTACCTCGACAGTTTCATAGTTTTGTTGACTGATGTTGCCACAGTTCAGCCACAGATGTTTCAGCCTCCGTGGAGTTGTGGTAGTTGTCTCTTTGAGAACTCATACATCAAAATCTTGTTCCAGACAGGCCCCTTTACAGCTGAAAAATGCTGCTAACTGGTGAGCGACCGAACATGATGTTGTAGTGCTTGTCGCTGTGATGAAGTTAGAGTTAGAGCCCTTTTGCATCAGATGTTGACATTACAGTATTCCTCCCACTTAAGCTGCGCATACACAGTAGGAT